ATAATAAAATCTAGGCTCCTGGCATACTTTGAAGGAAATAAATTGCTTGGCAATCAACAGCATGGATTCAGGACCAGCAAATCAACAACAACTCTGCTGATGGAGGTCATGAACGAAATAGTCGAGTCCCTGGAAGGCAAATGGCCATCGGAGATTGTTTCACAGGATTTATCTAAGGCTTTCGATACTGTTGACCACGATATCCAGCAAAGTAAACTACGATATTACGGATTGGGAGGTACTGCTCTTGATATCATCTGTTCGTTCCTGTCCAATAGGCAACAATATGTACTATGGAATAACCAACTGTCTGGAAGCAGGAACATAACGGCTGGAGTTCCGCAAGGATCGAGGCTGGGGCCCTTACTTTTCGTAATATTTGTAAACGACCTGAATCTGGAGAAGGAAGAGATGAACACGTATCTAAGAACACTTTTATTTGCAGATGATACTTCTTTCTTCCTAAAGGCCTTGGATGAGGTGAATCTGAGGATATTGGAGAAATATGTGCTTTCGACATCTAAGCACTGGTTTAGATGTAACTCTCTTGCCATAAATGAATCAAAAACACAAAACTTAAAAATAAAGAGTAACAAAAATAAGACCATCAAATTGCTTGGAGTTACATTGGATGGGGCGCTTTCATGGGAGCCGCACATTGATTCATTGAAAAGAAAACTTGCAGTGGCAATTTACACCATCTCAATTGTGAAAAGAGTTTCCTCTAAAAAAGCGGCAGTGATCTCCTATTTTGCCAACTTCCATTCACTGGCAACCTATGGAATTCTTCTGTGGGGCACATCGGCTCATGCCATCGACATCCTGATTCTTCAGAAGAAAGCAGTGAGAACAATAGTAGGACTTAAACAGACAGATAGCTGTAGGGATGTGTTTCGGACATTTAACATACTCACCATACCAGCAGTGTATATATTGGAGTGCTCCACATATGTCCACAAGAACTTAGACAGATTTCCAACTAATAGCACATTCCACAATTTTAATACAAGAAGACGAAACAAACTTACCATACCATACCATGAACGGAAATATGCGCAGCAAGGAGTAGACTACTGGGGACCTAAAATCTACAATAGGCTTCCCAATGCCATCAAACAACTGAATGGGAAAAAATTCAAGAAATGTCTCAAAGATATTCTCCTACAGAATACAATATATACCTTGGGGGAATTTCTGAGAGATTGAATGTAACTTTCTTTTGACGAAGCATGTAAACTATTGATGCTGAATAAAAATTTATTTAATTTAATTTAAAAAATTCAGTTATGAATAAAATGCCATTCATTAAATAAGTTCCGAGGATATATATTATTCAAACAATTATCACAGGACTATTCTTTTACAATCATCAAATACAGACAAACATATTAACTTATCTTCTTATATTGTAATTTTAATCACATATTTTTTATTTGGTTTTTAGTTCAATGAATCTTTTCAAAAGGGCCAATATAAAATCAATGCTTCAAATTGAAAAAGATTCAAAAGAGCAACTTCTAAAGAAAACAGAAGAATCTGTTCTCCGCCAAAGAGCACAAAAACGTGATAAGGAAAGTTTAGTCAAACAATCTTCAAATATAACAGATCAATTATTATCTATAAGTCGTCAGCTTGCCGATACAACAAAACAGAGTGCTTATACGTTAGATTCTTTACTTACTTCTTCAGATAACGTATCTGGTACCCAGGAGGAACTCAAGGTTACTGGAAATTCAATAACCCAATCAGGAAAACTTTTAGCGAAATATGGAAGAAGAGAGTTTACTGACAAAATTCTTGTCTGTTTTGCATTTTTGTTTTTTCTCGCATGTGTTTTTTACATAGTCCAAAAAAGATTGTTTTAAAAATTTTTTCCCAAATCAGTATAACTAAGGATATATTCAAACATGACAGGATATTCAGTATCCTAATTCCCACTAGGGACCAAACTAAAATAATATTTCAATATATTGAATTAATTGAGTTTTTGTTATTGTTTATAATTTGTTTATATATATTGTATGTAACTTTTTCTGTATTTAATTTCAGTACAAGACTACCTCTTGATATTTATTGATTTACTATATTTATTCATCAATTATACTGCGAAAATATTTTCATATAGTAATAGCTCGTCTGGAGTGATAGGTGCATGACGTCCTTTGTAGTAGAAATTATCGGTATAGCCCGATAATTGAAAGCAGCCGTTGACTCGTGTTTCGAGCTTGTTGGCTCTCTTCAGAACGGCGTAGCCAAGTTCAAGCTTACGAACCTGGATATGGAAAAAAACAACACAAAAAACAGTACTACAAAAGAAGTTACCGCTATTAGGCTTCCACATGAACTCCCCTGGTTGGAAGATTTCAGAAACGCCGTAATATCGTAATCAAAAATCATAAAAACTACTACACACTCACATATATATATATATATATATATATATATATATATATATATATATATATATATATATATATATATATATATATATATATATATATATATATATATATATATATATATATATATATATATATATATATATATATATATATATATATATATATATATATATATATATATATATATATATATATATATATATATATATATATATATATATATATATATATATATATATATATATATATATATATATATATATATATATATATATATATATATATATATATATATATATATATATATATATATATATATATATATATATATATATATATATATATATATATATATATATATATATATATATATATATATATATATATATATATATATATATATATATATATATATATATATATATATATATATATATATATATATATATATTATTATTATGTATATATATATATATATATATATATATATATATATATATATATATATATATATATATATATATATATATATATATATATATATATATATATATATATATATATATATATATATATATATATATATATATATATATATATATATATATATATATATATATATATATATATATATATATATATATATATATATATATATATATATATATATATATATATATATATATATATATATATATATATATATATATATATATATATATATATATATATATATATATATATATATATATATATATATATATATATATATATATATATATATATATATATATATATTATATATATATATATATATATATTATTATTATATTATTATTTATATATATATATATATATATATATATATATATATATATATATATATATATATATATATATATATATATATATATATATATATATATATATATATATATATATATATATATATATATATATATATATATATATATATATATATATATATATATATATATATATATATATATATATATATATATATATATATATATATATATATATATATATATATATATATATATATATATATATATATATATATATATATATATATATATATATATATATATATATATATATATATATATATATATATATATGCGCTTCGAAAAATCATCGGACTTGTTGAATGATAATAAGACACAATTGTTTCATCATTATTATGAATCACCAGTCTTTATTAAATCAATCAAGAATCGATAACTTTCAAAACGCACCCAGGCTCTATATCCGAATTAGGAGAACATTAGTTCGTGAACTAATCACGTGAGCTCCCTCGAAGTGATCGAAGATAAGACGTATAAACTCTCTCTACCATTCTAGATTCCTCCTCCTGACAACATCAGTGAGAGTACGTAGAGGCTTTGTGGACATTTCATTAGAAAAGATACGCCCCTGTGACAAAGCTCTGGGGTTTGAATGTCCACTGCCTAATCGCTCCAGATCACTCCCAGGCGGGCCAATAGATAACTTATTTCGAGATTCCCGAATATTAGTCAATACTGAGACTATTATTAGAAATATTTCAAATAAAACGCTCAGGAAGCTGTCTACACAAATGTTGTCAACGAGAATGAACCTTTAGAAGTACAAAGCCTTTACGTAAAATACGTACTATCACTAATGTTGTTAGGAGGAGGAATCTAGAATGGTATAGAGAGTTTATACGTATTTTCTTCGATAGAGGGAGCTCACGTGATTACTTCCGAACTAATATTCTAATTCGGAGGTAAAACCTGGGGGTTTATCTTATCTATGTATAATCGGCGGCAAGCTGTGTGAACGTGATCAGCCAAGCAGAAATTGCCGACGCATTGATCTCAATAATTATCCCTAGAAGGATAATGGGGGCAAAATTGTAAAAAGTAGAACAAAGTTCAAATCGACGACGAAGAGGCATATGGAACATAATTCCGGACCTTATTAAAATTCAGTGGAGCTCAGTTCTCTATGTATATAAGTATTATCATCAGGCATCACCGAAGATCGAGACATAGCATGGCGACATCTGCCGGAGGCTGTGTGAAGGGTATCAGCCAAGCAGAAATCACGAACGCCTTAAAACGAAAAGGCGTGCCTTTAACAATTATCTCTCGAAGGATAATTGAAGACATGAGAACAACTGCAAAAAAACTGAAAAAAGTTGTATACTCGAAGATGAAGAGGTATATGGAAGGTAAATCCGGATCTTATTAAAATTCAATGATCCCAGTGTATCTATGTATATACCACCTTCCACTAGTGCTCTGTATTTTGATAAAAAAATTAATGATTACTTGATTGAATCTAGTAGTACTGGTAATGTTCAGATAATTATAGGTGATGTAAATATAGACATACTAAAAGAAAATAACTTAAATAACAAGTGGGTATCTTGACACTGAGTGAATTTGTGAAAAAACGTCATTTGAAAGATCTAACGTTATTTGTAATAGTTTTGTATAGATATTATCTGGAACAAAACTATTACAAATATCATTACAGATACTCAGATAACAGACCATAAAGCACAAAGTTTTAGATATACATCATTATAAAACAGTCATGGGTAAGCCGGCCTCCGTGGCTTAATTGGGAAAACACCCGATTATGGTGCGGAAGGATTCGGGTTCGAACTGTGGTGGAGGCAAGTCTATGTGTACCTACCATTCAAGTAGTTAAATGATGATAATTTTTGGGTAATATACACTGATAACAAGCCCATTGACCGTTCGGAACCTGCGTTAAACTGCAGATCTACTGAATAAAAAAAAAGATACCACAGACACTATAAAAACTAAAAAGCAATATCAAACAGCATAAATGGGATATAAATATAACTCCTCTGCGCTATTTCTTTTTTGCTATCAATATGATTCTGAAGATTCTAAATAATTTTCCTTTGATATTAAATATTCTCCTTTTTGCTTTCAATAATTACCCACTTATCAAGAATTATCTTATTTTTGACTCCAATAATTTGTTTAAAATATCCAAACAATCCCCACCTGTAATTTTTTACAACAGGACTTCGTAATTCTAGAATTTAATTGAAAGACCTTTATTTCAGAGTTAAAACCTTAGAAAGTTTTTGAAATCAGAACATTACATCCATCATATTTATGTGTCCTTTACCAATCAAATATTTCATTTCCATGGTGTATTTATTCATCCAAAAGATACGGGACTGATTAATCTTTACAACACACACCTGGCGTAGTCTTTTGATGATTCAAAACAAACCGCACAAACATAACAATAACCAATATATTGTCCATCTAGTAACAATGTTCGGCAAAAAACACACCCAACGGCGCTTAATACTACGCATAAACTTGATTCAGTTTTCGGTAAGTTTAAAGGATGAAGTAAGAAAACTTAAATATAAATGAGTTCATCATAATTTTCAAGAACAAAAATTGCAAATTTCTTAGCAACAATTAGCTTTTCAGCTTTTATTTCTTAACACAGCTATGCTGACTTTAGTTTCAAAAGTTTTCTATGTACAGTATAACTTTGATTTCTGTAAAAATGTTGCTAATATTTTTTGACGCGATATTGGAGTTATTCCTATTATAGGCTTAATAGAGTTACTCCTCTATAAAGTTATCAAACACCCTCCCGATATTTCCTTTCAATTAGATTTTGAATATCAGTTTTGTTGAGCTCAATTAGTGTTGAGTCCGGCATACAATATATACCTGGCATGCAATCTCATGCAGATGCCGAGATTCAGTAGTTAGTTCATTTGTTCGACATATATTATGTATTATGATAAATTTTTTTTCTGATAATTCATTGGAAAAACTTGAAGAAGAAATTCCGTCTAAAGATACGTCATCTTTTTATATTTATTAGATTTTATTTCTAAGATTTATTTTATAGATCGATTTTTTTTGTTAAATATGCAACCCACTCGCAAAGATTGTTTCAAAATTTTGTAGAGACACAGTAATGCATTAGAACAATATTATGACTGAGATGATTGTTTATCCTATTTATGAATTTTTTTGAGATAATTTGACTTATATAGCCTCATCCCTTACTTTTTGGTAGTATATCAATTGAGGTTGAATATTTTTATGCAGAATAATACACAATATCTCTGCAAGATAGTATGTATAGCTTTTCATTCGAACAAAATGGCTGTAAAATTTTTCAAAATAGACAGACATTATTCAACTAATCTTAATTCTTTTCCTGGATTAAATAAGTGATCATGCAGTATAATTAAATAAATTTTGGCAGATAGAGTTGGCAAGAGAACTATCCATAAGAGAATGCCAAACAATTTAATCATAAGCATTGCAATTCTACATCAAACTTCTTCATTATTATTCCAAAATCTATGTAACAGTTATCATTATTTTCATTTTTTATTGTAATTGAATAAATACAAACAAATAGATACAACAAAATAAATTATGTTGTATTTCCAAAGAATTCGAATGTGTTCCAAAATTAGAAGATACGAGCATTCTACATACTTTACAGATGTCTAGCCACATGCAAAATGATTGGAAAGACAATTTTTTGTATATTCCACATTGTGAAATAAATTGCAGTTGTATTACAAATAATAATTAAATCAGAAATATATTATAAAAAATAAATAAATCAAAATATCTCTATTTAGTAAAATGTGAATTTTTTTTCGTATCAATTAAAACTTTCAAATATAAATAAATATTTCATGCATAACTTAAATGAGTGACAAGCAACATTTTCTGGTTGTCGTCAAAATCATCCAAAATTAATATTATGGGGATATTTGGATAAATGGTATTTTTGTTTCAAAACATATTCTAGCAATAATATAATGTCGCTGCATTACTTTGTTTAGAAATACAGCAATTCTAGTTTTAAGTAAAATGTATCATTTTTCAGAACTATAATAGGTAATTGAAATTATCAAATGGTTGCTCACAGAAGAGTATAGATTGCCAATGACTAATTTAAGTTATGTGACTTAAATTCATTAATTTTCTAGTATCCTGTTATTGAATGGTTTTCTTGGCCATATGTTTTTTGAAAGGCATTTGGCTTTAGTCCTTTGCAATTCTGAGATTTGCCTCTTCAATGGTAAAATATAAGTAAAAATCCACTCATTTTTAGTGAATGCATCATAGACATCCAGTAAGGCGCGGGACATATCATTTTCAATTTCATTTATTTCTTTTTCAAAATGATTTAATTGGGTCGCAACTCTCATTACATGCTCTGGACTTGAAAAACCATAATGTGAATTAAAACTGCTCATCCAGCCTTTAACTTCCAAACTTTGAGCTATCTGTTTAAAGTCATCTATAAGTTGATGAAGTCGATATACATTTTCTAGAATTTCACTACCTGGGAATGAACATCTTGGAGTTCCAAGGGAAGGCCCCATAAGAGCATATGCCTGTTGACACTTGAAAATTTTACCTACTTGTTTAGATGCTTCTAAATGATTTATGTCTTTAGATTCTAATATTTTGAGATTCATAACAAGAGATGGTAAAGCAACTGGTAAAAGTTCACAAAGTGTTGAGAAATGGTTGTATCTTTGCAGTCCTGTAATGATTATAGCGCTGAAATTGACTGAATATTTGTAGTTATCTATAACACTCATCCATGAACGATGATTTTGCATATAATGAGCAACATTGACAATATAATCATCAACACCTGAAACAAAAATAAAAAATCTATAGTTGCTTAATAAGTTGGCTAATCAAAAGACAATATATATATATGATCATATAAGTTAACAACCTCGGCTGGGATACGAGCCCAGGTCTTCAGGTATACCCCCTACCCTGCTGCTCTACCACTAAGCTACCGAGGTCTCCACTTTGAGATCTAATTTCGACTCATATCTAATTACTCTTTTTATTCGCAAGCTAGTCTTTGACGCTCGGGTTGTCGTCTTTCAAACTGCAAGGTGAAAGTGAGTCGACACCTTCTCATCCTCCCAGATGTATTTTTAATTTTCATTACGCAACATGACATTAAAGTAAAGTAATTATTATTCGCGCTAACCTCGCACGTACTTAACATACTATAAAAATGTATTTCATATAATATATATATATATATATATATATATATATATATATATATATGAGGGCGCTTTCTTGGTCTTACTGTCTCTGGGCTCCCAATCACCAACCACAGCTGACCAACGCTCATCTCTTGTTCGGGCTAGATGGTCTGCCCATTTCCACTTTGACCTTTTTACACACTCCACGACATCCTTCTCCTTTGTTTGACCTCTTATCCAGTTGCAGCGTATTCTATCTCGTATGGTTAGACCCATTATGTAATCTTTCTATACTCCGCTGGGTTGTTTGAAGCTTCTGGATGTGACCAGATTTCAGGGTCCAAGTTTCGCTGGCGCAGGTCATCGCTGGTAATACGCATTGGTCAAACACTTTGTTCTTAAAGGATAGTGGCATATCTGATTTGCAAGATGTGTTTCAGTTGGCCAACTGTATCCCAAGCTGTTCTGGTTCTTTGCATGATCTCAGGTGTAATATCCCCGTCTCTCGTGACAATCTGTCCCAGATATGTGTAAGGTGATGCTATTTCTAATGGTGATCCGTCCACCTCCATTTGCTCTCTGGTGCAGAAAGGGTTCAGCATAATCTTTGTTTTTGCAGTGTTTATTTCCAGACTTATTTCCTTGCTCGCGATGATCAGTTCATTGATGCGCTCTTGAAGATTTGTAGCATCGTGGAAGAATAGGACTATATCATCAGCGAACCTCAAGTGGCTAAGGTAGTGGCCATTTATCTTGATTCATTTCTTGCTCCAGTCCAGCTTCTGGAACATACACTTCAAGGCAGCTGAGAACAGTTTTGGGGAAAACGGGTCTCCTTGTCTAACACTTCTCATTATTGGCAATTTTTCCAAGTATTCGTCTATTTTGATGGTTGCTGTGACATGTTCGTATATATTCTGGATCAGCTGGGTATAGCAAGATGGTATTCTTATCCTCAATAATGAGGTGGTTGCAGCTAGAGCTCTAAGCATGTCAAATGCCTTCTTACCAATTCATTCTTGAGTAATTTTATTATCTTTTGAAGGATTCATTCAATCATATCGATCAGTGGCTGGAATTCAATGACTTTGCGTTGGCATTATCATCTCTTCAGAACAAACAGACTTATTAAACAATTATTAGTTATTGTGACATAACAATCAACTTGATTTTTTAGTGTTGTCTTGCCAAGCATGAGAAAGAATAATTCTACTCATTTATATTTATCAAAGGAATAGAATATTAGTCAGTTTAAAAATGAGAAATACTTAAACTCAGTTAATTAACAAAACATCATTTGATTACCTGTAGCTCCTTTAAAAGCTGAAGCAATCCAGATTTTTGTGAAATATTTGGCATATTCATTCCACAGAGGTGATCCCAACTTATCAAAAACATCAGAGTCAAACTGTTTCACCACTGGAATTATGTTAAAATCATGAAACCTATTCTGCGATTCTTCATCCAAAAGATATCTAAGTTGATCATCCCATATCAAAATGGACATTTTAGGATATTTGTGCCTAATAAAATTACACAACATCTTGATATGTTGTAAATAAAGATCTTCTTTAGAAATTTTAAGTGAATTGATTTTTTCTTTACATTTCTTACATCTACCTAAATAT